CACAAGCAGCCCCCTCGAGAGCTGCCCGTGCGTGCTGCACTCCCAAACAATACACACATAGAGAGTGTGCGTCCCCACCCGTGATGAAACGAGGGCAGGGATGCACACACCTCTTGAATTGTTCACTGGCCATACTTTCTTTCAATAATAAGACAAACAACACCAAATAAGACAGACAGTTTCAACATAAAGCGCTTGCTGAAGAGCGAAAGCTAGTGTGTGTTGTGACAGCGTCACTTTTATACTTCCGGGTATGCCGTCACATGTTACGTCACGACGCAACACCAATCAGGATTGGATTAGTTTCATTCATACTTCAGAGGCGCACGCTTAGGGAGCGTCCCCAAAGAGTCGATTTTATCGACGCAGTGTTGAGTTCCCTCGATAGGGAACAAGTAGAATTAGTCCAAAGCACCGATTGTTGTACAGATTTATTTGCAATGCTAACATTAACATAAGCTGCTCAAATATATTGAGTTTTTATACTTCAAATTATCGAGGCAAAGTGCCCCTCTAAATGCACTGTAGAATTAAAATTGCATAAGTAAATCAGCACTGTATTACCACTTTCTTTCCAGCCACTGTGCTTTTAATTGGAGAATATGCTTAATAAACAACACCCTTTAACTGAAACAAGCTCTAAATGACCTGCCCTGTGTCTTTATACACATCTACACAAGTTTGGAACTTTTATAGTTAGTTAAGATAATTTAAGGTTGATGGTGATATAACTCTTGAGCAATGACGGTAATTAAATAAAACCACATTAAGATTACTTTATAGTAAATTACTTTAAATTTAACATACATTTGTTTTTCTCTCCATCATTTCGAGACACACAAGTCTTTTCCCTTCATTATAACAACAATTATACTTAATAGTGTATAAATGTCTTCAATGAGACCTGAGATTTGAATGCGACTCAATGGAAGATGCGGTGCTCTGCGGCCACGAGCGCCCCCTTGAGGACTATTATGATTGACAAACTATCGAACTGTTATTTAGTCGAGTGACTTAGTGACAGCAGATGTATAGCTGCCTTGATTCTAGACACATTTTTCAAATGTTCTCTATCGATTTAAAAAATAAATAAAACATCTGTAGTGTAGTGTCATGAACCAAGCAAAACACTTTAAAACCTGAAATTTTACAATATTTGATTAGAGCAAAATACAAAAATACATAATAAAAAAGAATAATAATTAATAAAAATGTGGTAACACTTTACAGTAAGTTCATTAGTTAACATTAGTTAATGTATTAACAAACAAGAAATCTTTGTTGGTCATGTTAGTTAACAGTGCATTAACTAATGTTAACAAATACAACTTTTGAATTTAATAATGTATTAGTAAATATTTAACAATTAAATAATTATCATCAACAAAGATTAATATTGATGTTGCAGAAGTGCAGTTCGTGTTAACAAATGTAGTTAGCTAAGTAAGGGATAATGTACATCCAGCCGGTTGTTCTCTCAAAATAACCCCCGACAGGGTGATGAGGGCTGGGGAATGTACTGTACGTTATCCTGCTTATTACATGGCTACTTGCCACATAAGTAAATAATTAGACACGATATATTGATCCGAGTCTAAGTATTTAATTAGCACTTTAAAAGCAAAGCTCCCGCAGAGAGAGAGCAGTTTCAGCAGCAAGCTCAAACTACACAGACATTTAAGAGATACGGTATACAGTCATTCATACCACTTATTACATAGCATATCACCAAATAAATAATTATGGGGATAAGATATGAAGAGTTCAGATGCAAAAGCCTCTAAATGCCATTTGAAATTTTCTTCTTTAATGATGATTTTTTATCAAACTTGTATACTTAAGTTCAGTAATTTCACTTAAATGGCAATGATAATTACCTATTAATTGTTATTTAAGTGAAATTACTGAACTTAAATATACAAGTTTGATAAAAATCATAATTGAAGAAGAAAATTTCAAATGGTATTTAGAGGCTTTTGCATCTGAACTCTTCATATATTGATTTCAGATTAAACTGTTTTAAAATCGGACCTGTTTGTATCTCATAATCCAACTAAATAGACACAAAATGGCAGAATCTGCGTTTGTATGAAACGAGAGAGAGCGAGTCCACGATACTGGATGGCATAATTAAATATCTGTACACAAAATATTAATTCCGACTGAGTTTTAATATTTTATTAGCTCACCTATTACAAAACTTCCATGAAGGCAACCCGTTCCTAGCAGGTGTATAGCACTGCTGACTTCAGTGACCCGGATGAGCCTGCGTTATCTGTTTTGAGCGGTTGTTGCACTATTTGGGAATATTTTACCATTGGATGGTGCGATTAACCAATCAGAATCAAGTATTCCACAGAGCCGTGTAATAATGTTAACTAATGAAACCTTATTGTAGTGTTACCAATGTAAGTAATGTAATCACTTTTATTGACAATAAATGTTTGATTAAGGGCATACAAATAGTAACTTGATAATGTATTTTGCAATGCTTATAGCTAAGACACATTTTTTTTTTTTTTTTTTTTTTTTTGTTAACATTTATTGTTGGGTTGTTGAAGATAAAATAAAATAAGAAAAAAAAACATACAAAACCTCAGAGCTTATGATAGGTATGCATTAATTTAATTAAACTGATTTGATTTCTGGAGAAAATGAATGGGATTTTACTTCTGAGTCCAGACATATGTCTCCACTGTCACAGCAGGAAAAATAAATAAATAAATTGAGGGAAAAATAAGTGTTCATAAAGTGCTGTTGAACAACCTCACAAATCTCTGCTAAAGAATGAGATGAGGAACGGAAGACTTTTAGATGAGTAAGAGCAGTTATATTTTTACAGAAGAGCATTACATTTTTTTTAAACTTCATCATTCAAAAAAAGCTTAATTATTAACATTTTATCAGCATATAAAACATAGACAAGGATGTACACTACCAATCAAAAGTTTGGACTTTATTAATTTAGCTTTCTCATATACTTAAAAACCCTTTGATTTAAAAGCTTAGGCTGTTTGTCATGCTTAATTTGTGTTCATAATCAATAGATACTATTAATATCTGCAAACAATAATAAACACACATTAACACATGTACATAACTTATGTATTTATTACTGTTTGTCAAATGCATTAAACTTTTAATAATAAATAAATAATATAAAAACAAAATTTGTACTTTTTTATGTAATTTCCTTTCATTTTAAAATGTTTTTATATAATATTGTTGCTCTATATTTTAATGTTTTAATGAAGTAATAATATAACCTGGGTTTCCCCATGCTCCCTTGCCGCAGCACGATTTTATTCATGCTGCTAGCATCCATGAACCAAATTTTCCCCTGAAATAGGGAACCAATCACAGAACGGGGAGGGAGTACAAGACAAGACGATGATGACGTATTCGCGACACACCGAAACAGTCTGTTTATATCTATAGACGATGGCAGTGGACGCCTAATGATACAGCCTAATGTTTGATATTAAACATATCGGCTCAACTGATTTGCAGAGGGGGGATTTAAAGCTGTTCCCTTTTACTGGTGATTCACTGTCTTAATTTTTACTTCATATAACGTTAGCCTTTTTTGTTGATCACACATTTTACCATTTCATAAGTTTTAACAGCTAGATCGTGTTGCTATGGACGCAGTTGTACACTCCTGTAATATAACCGTTTTTTAAATTAATAAACTCCTTTTCAAATTAATATTTTGTGTCAAATTATTGATTTATTTGGTAGGTAGCCATATTATAAGTGGGAAAATGTATAGCGAGGCGGTTGTTACAGCGAAGACAACCCCTTCAGACTGATTCAAGACCCCTCCGCTTTGAGTTAGAGTTCGCGGGGTTGTATTCGCTATAACAACCGTCTCGCTATACATTATCCCTTACTTTCATTTATTTATTTCTATGAGGGTGACAAGACAAAATAAAGACTGTCAAGCGTGCAGCTACTAAAGAAGAGCCTCATCTAGCCTCTGAAGGAAATGACTTGGAAGGACCCGTCCTGCCAAGGAAGTATCCTTGACAAACACGTTTTGTGTATACATAAATCTCTGACCCATCGTCGTCTTCATCGTCTAATTTTCTGTCGCTCTACATACATCATCTGGTATCATTAAACCGATTGGCTATGAGCTACGTACAGGTGCATTTGATAGACATTCGGCTGTGGGCATTCGTAAACCACGCCTCAAATACGAGAAAATGAACATGTGGTTTCCAGACCATGTCTCATTCTCAATGATACGTGGTCTGGCGTTATCCAGGCTAGTAATCATTACTAAAAAAGCTAAAAACTAAAACCAGTGTAGAATAAATGTTCTCGCTGGTTCAAACTCGCTCGCTTCCGCTCTCTCTCCACGTTGGATTTTGGGAAATAGTGCTTCAGCGTGTGGGGCATCAGAGTGCATCATAAATGAGTGGGAAATCAGAGTGCATTATGGGTATCAGAGAGTGGTAAATCAGAGTGCATTATGGGTATAAACATAGGTAATAAAGTTATTCGGACACCACTACTAAATGTTGGACAACTGATGTAGTGCACGTGCATATATAGTGGATAGAGAGCGGTTTCGGACACAGCTTAAGACACTAAAACTCAAATTTAACATTTCATTTCAAAAAAGTTATACCTCATGAAGCTATTCTGGGCAAATAGTGTTAACTTGAGAAATTCAAATAAGATATTTTTCAGATTTTGATTTATTTAACACTTACATGCCATACTTCTATTTGTGTTATATCATAGCTTTGATGACTTAACTATTAATCTAAAATATGGCCAGTTTATACTAAAGAATGGATATGATTGAGTCCAAACTTTTAACTGGTATTGTAGGTTAGCAACAATGTTTAAAACAAAATTTGCTTTTGACAGTATGGAAAATAAACCACACATCATTTCATTAGCTAAGGACTGAGTTTCTCACAGCATTCATCTAAAAAAAAAATCCAACAGGTTAAGAAATGAGTAGAACAAACTGAATAAAGACTTACTGGTGTTACAGTTTATCCTGCCACAGTCTAGATGGGGAAGAACAAGTGACAGATGAAATCGCGTCCTTCAAGGATACAGCTGCAGACATCCAACAACAGAAACACCACCTTCTGGGGACGAGCACATGAAGCGGCCGCCATTCGGGACTCTTTTCCAGCAGCAGTATGAGCATGCTGGACAATATTGTCTGATAGAACTCGTTTTGACAATTTGATCCAAGGTATCTATGTTAAATGTGTATAATTGTGTTATTATAACCATGTAGCTTAACATGTAGAGAAAATTATAAGTAAACATTCTTAAGACATCTTTATGTCTGTATCTAAATATTGTTCTTTTTGTCTCTCATTCTGAGCATCCAGACAATGTATATTGTAACAATCCACTTAAATAAAAATGGCTGCCTGCTTTAAGCCAAATGGATTCATCAACCCTAGTATTCTTTGTTAATTATCTTCCAAATTACTGGTCACCAACTGTAAGAACAATTATACAGAGAACTGCAGGTTTTTTTATGATAATTTTATCCGGGCTGGAATCCATATGGCCATTTTTGTCATGTGCCGTCAACCGCAACAGAAAAGTGGGAGCAAACAGCCTCGGTCCAAAAAGCACCAGCACCACACACACTTGTAGCATGTTCTTCATATTTAAAAAAAAAAAAAAAAGACAGTCATCTCAATTAGGACAATATACTGAACTAGTACAATGGATACTGAATAGTGTATGAATGGAAAATGAAAAATTGTAGCACTGAAACTAATTTAATTGACTGAAATTACTATTATTAATTTGGATGCTGCAAATGCAATATATTTAAGATATGGACTGGACATGGTGTGCATATGGGTGGATGTTAGTAGAAATGACTGTGTGTGTGTGTGTGTGTGTGTTGTGGCCACGAGCTGCAGGTGTGCTGGATGCTCTGGTCTCGGGCTGTTTGCTTACAGGGCCGCAGGCTAAAGGCCGTTGAAGGGGTGAGTACCATCTTTAAACAAGGTCATGTAAATGCCGGTAAGAGCGAGGGATGGGGATGGATACATATTTTCCTGATAACGTGACAAAAATTGTACAGATGTGCAGATGTACTGATGTTAACCACCTTACCATAAGAAAAACAGCAGACACAAATACTGAAGAAGTATCACAAGAGATCTGTCCGCAGCATATCATTTAGGGCTGGGTGATATATTTTATATGTATGCATATGAGTATACCACTATGCAGTGGCGTAGCCAGGGGAGGGGCCATGGGGGCACTGGCCCCTCCTGAAAACTGATTGGCCCCCCAGTGTGCCCCCACCCTTCTAATTGTCTGTCACTCAAAAATTCAAATCTTTCAGGTTGTAGTAGAATAATTCATGATTCCGCGTCGCGCGATGCTTCTCAAAACCACACGGTAAGTTGAAATATTTTATACAGCTTATTATTTTTAAGGAAAGACGATGTGTATTCACCCTGCTGAGGGGAATGTGATAAAGCCTGGAGTGGAGCGAAAGCACGTTCCTCTCTCCACTCTAAGCATTCTGTAATCACTTCGCTCATGGTCCACTCCGGTTTTTCAATTCCCGCTCATGGAAAAACTGCTCCATGTTCACTCAATTAGTCTTAGATTTTGAGAAGTACATGTCAGGCTACTGCTCGCTCGTTTGCTGCGGTCGTATGATAGAAAATAGAACGCGGGTCAATATTGGTCGTTTCTCAATACCAAGAACGCAAACTTCAGAGAACGAACTCCCGAGGACGAGAGGACGCGAGTCCGGTCATTCTGCTAATGGAATAGCGCGTTCTTGATCTCGTCACTCAGCACGCGGCTACTCCGGTTATCTCTTACATGGTATAACACACAACTTTGCTTCTTTTCATCAACAATAAAACGAAATACATATAAAACAGCACTCTGCCTCATTTCATTTATAAATGGACATATTATCATGAACAGATTAATGGCCACAAAAATGTGGTTCAGGTAGCCTAACCTTAACTCACTTTGACTATCTTCACTGCATATATTTATAACACGAAATATAAAACACAACCCTGCTTCTTTTTGTTTTCATTTTAAAAATGTGAAACATTATTGATCATTAAAACTGACATACAAACAGACATGTATCGTTTTATTGTATTACACACAGTGAAGAGAATGTATAGTAAAAACATACACATATAAAGAATATTTTATATATTTTAGAATATATAAAATTACACAACCCTGTCTCTTTTGTTAAATGTCAGTTTTAATGATAATATCCCATTCAAAAGTATAAGTAGCCTAATAGGTAGGCTATAATAAGCTACAATGAGAAATAAAGTAAACAATTCAGTTAAACATAAGTCAGCTCTCTAATGGGTTACAAAGTTAAAGTTAAATAGCCTAAAAGTTAAATATATAAAGTTATGAAACTTCACTTTTCCCTCAGCCAGTTAGCATTGTTTGGTCTTATAAGATAAATAAAAAACATGCACTGAAAAGTTATGTAGATGGTTGATTAGGCCTATTTGTCAAGATAAGTAATTGTTTTTCATAGATTAAAATAGCTTTTAAATTACGCAAACTGGCAATATTAGATCGGTTTAAAACATCTCTCCTTAAAACGCTATTGGTCTCGACTATTTAAATAAAGTTACAGGAATATGACTTGGCCTGAAAAAAAAAAAAATCAGTCAAAAGAATTTTTTTTAATTTAATCCCTGCATCCAGAAACATTCTCAAATAAAAAAAAATATAAAAAAAGATGTTTAAATAAAAATGCATGATTAAATAGCAAAATAAATAATTAATACTACTGGATAATTAAGTCACTGTTTCTATAATCCACATATATTACATTAAACTAAATCATTCCTTTTTGAAAAAGTAGCTATCTAACAAAGTATTATATGTGATATTTTACAATCAATATGCTCAAGACTAATTAGCCTTCCTCGAAATAAGCAGATTTGGTCTATTCATCAAAGCAAATTTACTGCAACTGCTGAAATGCAAATTGAATAGGATGTGGGGAAAAAGATGTATACAATTTTATTACAGTTTTATGAATTCATTAATTGTGTATTTATTATATGAATGATTAATATAATTATGCATTCATATAAATAAGGCTGTTCTATTATTATTTGTGAGTTGGACACTAATACATTGGATTATTTTATTTATTACAGTTTTTCTATCACTTTTGTAAAGTGAAAAGTTAATATAAATTGTTTTTTATTGTTTTAATTTAGAGCAGTAAATAACTGCTATTAAAAGATAACAGGGTATCACTGTTTATTGCTGATTTTAAAGCTTACTGAACTTGAAATGATTTGGATATCTATAGTTCTACATAAATACACAACATAAGAATGGCCCCTCTGTAATAATTGTGGCCCCTCTTGTGCCCCCCAGTTGGAAAAAATCCTAGAATCGCCCCTGCCACTATGACTTTAGCATGTTTTTTTTTTTGGGCCATTTAGTTTCTTGTCTGTGCCAGTACGCCAGTTTCACATCCACTCCTTGTGTCAAAAAAGTTTACAAAGAACATTTTGATAAATCTTTTATGTATATCATGTGAAACCAATGCATATAGGTATATGTTGTTGTTTATTACTACGTATTGTCGTATTGAAGTCTTTAAATTAAAGTGATAACAATTCTTTTGTAAAAACAACATGAAACATGAAAAACAACTTTTTAAAAGATAAAAAAAATCACCAACTTTTGTGACAGACAGATAAATAGATAGACAGACAAACAGACATATAGACACACAGGTAGGTAGGTAGATAGATAGATGGATGGATGGATGGATGGATAGATAGATAGATAGATAGATAGATAGATAGATAGACAGACAGACAGACAGACAGACAGACAGACAGACAGACAGACAGACAGACAGACAGACAGACAGACAGACAGACAGACAAATTAAGACAGACAGACAGACAGATAGATAGATAGATAGATAGATAGATAGATAGATAGATAGATAGATAGATAGATAGATAGATAGATAGATGATAGATAGATAGATAGATAGATAAACAGATAAATAGACAGACAGACAGATAGATGATTTCAGATAGATAGACAGACAGACAGACAGACAGACAGATAGATAGATAGATATATGTATCACCCAGCCCTAATATAAATGCTGCTTTCATTTCATTAGATTTTAAATAATAGAATTAATGCACATTTTTAAACCATTGTTTCTCCAATGCGAGTAAATCAATGAGCATGTGTATGAGAATGACTGGCGCAGATGTGTTGCTTCGCTCATGAGGTCAGAGGTTACGTGAGATAGTGATGCGAGAGCTCGTCGGTCCACATCACCCGCAGACAAAGCAAGAGAACGAAAAACAAACTGGAGCAATCCATGCAGATCAACAAAACAACAACAGTTTAGTTTTAGTGTAAGAGAGATGATAACATCCAGTAACTTGCAAATATAATAAATAACGGACGATCGAGGAGAGAGAATGGTAGAGAGAGAATGTCAAATATAGCAGAATACAATACCTAAATTGACGGTGAGTCTGACACGGCCGCTGTCCAGCTCAAGTCGCAGTGTGTCTGCGGACTCACGTGATGTGGCAGCCATCAACAGGCCAAAGGCACGCTGGGACATGAACCGCAGGGACACGTCCTCTGCTTCTGTGTGTATTACCGTCGGCATCACCACCTTCATATACATGCTGCCATCGTAGCTTAGGATAGACGCCTCTGTGGAGAAAACAGACACACAAAATAAATAAAGAGTACTTTAACTGGACTCTATTCATGCCAAGTCAATTCAAATGTGTTCAGTGATTTAAACAAAACAATGTGTTTCTATGAAGTCTTTCACACGAGTTCAAAATATCAAACTTGAAAATGATTTGCTGTTCACACCCACTTACAGTACAAAAGTTTACATATGAAAAAATCCTTATGAATCTGTTTAGTTTTATTTGGTCACATCAGAAATTGTGTGAAAAGGCCTTTACACATTTTTGTAACAAGTGATATCATTTATAAATGGCGGCACATTTAGTGCCTATTCGAAAAAGAGTTTGTAATGAAAATTGTAATGAAAATGTAAATTTCAGCCATAGATTGTAAAAGTCATGTAACACAACTTTTTTGGTTCATTTTAAGGATCAAAAGTGGGTGGAAAATTGTCATGAAAAAAATAAAAAAATAAAAAATGAAAATAATAACATAAAAGTGCTGAATATACAGTATATATATAATATATATATATATATATATATTCTTTTGTTTACCCTGGCTATTCTGGTGACAGCGCCACCTATGGGTTATGGCATTTTTTCAGATTGCATGCCATTATTTTTGGCATTAATACCATGGGGAAAAATGGCATATAGATTGTTTTTAATATGAGCTCATAATTTGGCAGCAGGTACACGGATCCATTACACTGTTACACATGCGTTTCTTTTTCAACTGTTAAAGTTAACTTAAAACATCACTGACTGTGTTTACGTGAATACTCACCAAGACCAGCATTTTGACTGTTTTTTGTTAATGTCGTTGCGTTCTTTGGTTTCCAACAACATCGCTTTTTTATTTTCCATAGTTTTGCTTGTCTACCATTTTGAAGTATATAACGAACAGCTTTGTTGCTTATACTCCTACAAATGTTGTCCAATTGTATCCAAATTACCAAACATATTTTGATATTTGCTACCACTACAGAGAAACTCCTTTCTGAAACCAACCAGGTTTGTGTTTGTTGTCTTATGCGATGTTAGCTTAGCATGCTAATCAGTTGATAAGCTAAACATTTGTCATTCTT